CTCACACTCGTTACGTAGCTTCTATGCACGTTTACGCACGTCTAAGCGGCACGATGATCGCCGATCGACTGTTTACCATTGGCTGACACCAGTGTGTGTTTGTGTTCCAAAGGCTAAAGGCTTTCCACCCGCGATGATCAACGGCAGTCGTGGAACATCAACCAGCCAACGCTGATAAGTCGAACATTGCCGAGATAATGCTTGCTCCGACATCGTTGTGCTTTTCGAAAGATCGTTTGTTCAGACGTGTATAAACTTTGTTATCGAGACTTTTCTAATCTTGCCTTTTTCTAATCTCACGTCGGCTTAAAATTCTTTCGGATGTTTCAGATTCTGCGTGTGTCGCCACTTACAACAAACTTTCTTGTGATCTTCTCTCGCGATTTGTGTACAATTTGATCGACAAGTTTTATACATCCGATAAGTATCCGAGTTTTCTTGAATAGTTATTCTCCTTTCCCTATTTTCTAAATGTCGTTACTCGCAAATTTATACAATTTCAATTCGTGACTTCTTCAGACTTTCCGAATATTACAGCTCGTAATTTTTCCACTTCTACGTCGACTTGAGACTTTAAAAGTCACGACTTCCCTCGACTTCCCGGATTTTCCGAGCGATTGCTTTCCCTCCTCCGCGAATCGGTAAAACTCCTCTTCTTTTCATTCCAGTTCCAAGCCACGTTCTCGAGATCGATAGGTGACATTTCAAAAGAAAATCGAGCGTGCAAGCACGGCCACGCGTGCCAAGAGTAAATAGACGCAATCAATTCTCGCGTAATCCGCAAACGTTTACGCTGAGAAATTGATATCGGCGTTGTCTGTTTGCCGGCTCTTTGCAGCAGCTCGCTAAACTTCTCTTCAAACAGCCAATTTTTCAGTTTGCTTTTTTCATTATAGCCGGCAGACTGGCTCGAGGCGGCCACGTTCCTCGTCGAACGGTATCGTCGTCAAACGATCATAGGTCAGACTGCGTGTCGCAATTATTTACGCGGCAATCGTTGGAAAGCTGGTTGTCGTTATCGTCGCGCGGACTTCGCGATCTATCGATGGAAAGCACTCGAAACCAGCATCAACTAGTTACGAGTCAAGAGATTTTTACGCGATCGAGAACAGGTGACGTTGCAAGGGAATGTGGCCAAGGTGGGGAACGTGAATGCGGTGCATCAACAACCAGCTAGCGAACTGCTTGGCTTTTCGCTCGTTATCAATCGATGATAATCATCGGTAAAAATAACACGGTTCGATAGTCAACCGCTCACTGAAAAGCGAACGTCGTCGAATTTTCGTTGTATTTTTTTATGAACAGTTCTTTGACAATTCTTTAATTAATAATAAATTAATAAATTAATGAATTGATGGATAATTCTTAGTGATTGTGTCTTTATACGAGTAGTTCTTGTTTCGTGATAGTTCTTTTGTAATTCTTGATTGACTATGAATTAATAATTAATTAGTAAGTTTTAATTGTATAAGCATTTACGTTTGTCTTGCTTGATACTAGTTTTTTGATAGTTTTTGATTGATGATAAATTGATGGTTGATTTGTGGCATTTTTACACGAACAATTCTTTAGAAATCCTTGATTGATGTTGACTGGTAATTTTTAATATTAATTAATTTTGACTGAAATTGATAGTTAGACTGGTAATTTTTAATGCATTTCCATACAGGTAATACTTGTTTAATGATCTTGACTGATGATAAATTGCTGGTTCTTAGTCATTGAATTTTCCTGTGTTTCCAGCAGTTCTTTGGTAATTCTTTATCCATGATAAATTGACTGTTCATTTTTAATCACTACATTTTTGAATATAGTGATGAATAGTTCTTGCCTTGATGGCAGTTCTTTAGTGCTTTTTAATTGATGATAAATCGATCGTAGTTTCTAATCGTAGTAAGTCCTAATCGTTGCATTACCAATTCCCTGATAATTTTTGATCGATGATAGTCTAATAGATTATACTTTTCAATTGGTGTTGCGAGAAGCGAACGTTTATCTTTGAACACGTGTCCATTGTATCTATCATTCAAAGCGATTGTTTTTTTACCTGTTTGATTACTGATTATCACCTGTTTGATTGCTAATTCGCGAGAAGAACATTAATCTAATAAAGCTCGGAACTTTGATAAGAAGACACTTGACAAAACACATATCAGCGTGATTATTTTTATGCGTCGTTCGTTCGAGCACTATTCGCCGTTTCGTTTGATTTCGCGTTTCTCTCTACCCTCATATCGATAAAAACCGGTCTCGCTAATTCTCGATGATTCGCACGACTTTTACTAATATGGACTTTTACTCAATTTTCAATTATTCGAGGGAAAAGAAGGGATACTCACCTTCTAATTCGCTGGAAGACTCGAACGCCGTTTGATCACTCTTGAGTAATACTTGCTCCTTTGCAACCTGCGATCGCGTTCTATCAGGCAACCTGCATCACCGCGCGAAAACTTGCACGTCGGCGCACTGATCCGGACACCTTGGCGATTTTGACCGCTAACCACCGGACGCACCGATACCCACGGTTAGCACGTTATTTTACGTTCTCCATGGATACAGCGGCGCACGCTAGAAGCAGAAAAGCAGAAACGCGACCGATCTGTCACGAGTTCCTTCTGTCGTACGCGTTCTGTTGCGCGAGATGAAAAGATCGTAGCGAAATTCAACGAAAGCGTTTTCGAGACTCGTTAGCAATTTACGCCCCTCCCTTGCCTTTCCGATATCTCCATCTTGCCGTTTCGAGATCGAAATA